GSKTCCKGTCATGATAGACCGTGGTTGCTTCGAATGAACCGAAACTAGTCGAGAAAAATTGTTCTTTATGGTCWTTTGTCAAAGTTGCCCTATAATTTAGYGAATACGTTTCGGCCTCCTGGACTTTTACCTCGTAGTCATGGACTTTCAACTCTTGGTCTAATTAACAAATAAATAAGGCTCAGCCGTGGTTTATTTGCTAATAATACGTTATAAGAGGTACCAGTGCGTTATAAAAGTATTGAGCTTTTTGGAAAAGCGTGCAAAGCTGTTTTGATCGTCCGGATGAATTCTTTTGGGAGGGACAGGAAGCCCGACAAAAGGGTAGGCTGCGAAGGAGACTATGTTTGGTGGATATTATACAATACAATACAATACAATATTCAATAAGTTTATTATTTCATCCAACAGGGGCTTTCCAGAATTTATAATTTACAATATACTAATGTTAATAACAATATATAATACTAACTAATTTACATCATCGATAAGGATAAAAAAAATATAGAAATGGAAAGAAAACTGTTGTTAATTTGTCCTTGCCCGAAACAGGCCAAGAGCTTACACGAAAATAACATGCGCACAGTAAACTACTGAACAATTTAGCGATTCGCCATTCGCGTACCCAGATCCTTGTTAGTCGAAACATCGAAGGCTTTGGAAACAAAATAAGATGGGTCACTGGGATACAAGAATCTCGATTGAATCATCATCCAATAAAAATACTTGGGCTTCCTGTGGAAACAAGAGTGCGTGACGGTGGTGATGTGGTGACATCCTTTTTGGAGGGGTTTCCCCGCCAAACCAGCAGGTTATGCTTATACATGACATCACCGGGTATAAACACAACTGTCACAAGACTTTCGTTCAGTCGGAACGTACTAGTACGTACGTTCCCTCTAAATGAATATGAAGTCTCATGGGTTCTCATGGCCTTTAATTTATTAATTCAACTTAGGAATAGTAAACAATCGGCAACAGATTTCTATCGGATACATTGGAAGCGATTCTATAGCTTACCATGGCTTTATCAAAAAGAAACGAAATACCATTTACCGACTTGTCGATCGTTGTCTTCGTGGAAGAGTTGGACAAGCGATTTAGATGCCCATTCTGTAAAAAACCATTGAACGATCCAGTACAAACTGAATGTGGTCACCGGCTCTGTCACAGATGTCTGCAAGAAATTCTAAGGTAAGAGATTATGGTGAACTTCACTAACTAGTACTTACGGATGAAGGATACCTTGGAATCTTGTCCAGTCAAACTGCTGAAATACAGTGAAAGAGAGGAGGATAGTTATACTATTAGATCCTAAAAAAACAGAACGTGTGTTGATCCAAAATGTGAATCAAAAATCCCCTTATGAGTTTCTGATGTCAGTTGATATCAGGATTTCGTCAGAGTTTGACGCGATTGGTCATGATTTGTTTTGATTGACACTCTTAAAGTACTGACTACTGCGCATGAAATGTGCTTAGCAGCACTTCTTAAATATGCTTATAAGCACATTCTTGGGATGATGAGTTGTAAGCAGCTCAGTGGCTGTTGTGCTAACCGTTGTGCTTGGTTGCGTGATGTTTGTCATCTTTCACATTTTAATATTTGGACTTGAGAAGTGACAGAGGGTGAAGGTGAGGGGGAATGGAGAGAGCGTTTTCTGTATGTATTGCATGCATTTCATAGCTTAATTCTTTCTTTTTATAAAACAAATACCTACATTTGTTAATTTAAAGTATTTTTTTGATCAGCTGTATAAAAAAGATGACGAAGGATTAACGTCCGAAACGTCAGTAAGTTATATTTCACATACTTTTTTACGGTGTTAAATTTATATTTTTTATACAACTGCTTCTTTAGAAACACCGACGCAGCTCACACTAGTTTACCGCTAGTTCCCACTATTTTTTTTATCTCAGTAAAGATTAAGAGTGAGTTGTGATAAAAGGGTGAATACACTATGATATATATAATGATTGGATCGCGATCTTATTCAAAATAGAAAAGAATTAATAAAACGATTGATTGATAAGACAATTCACACAGCTAGAACATCAAATTTCCCATATGCATCGACATACAAAAACGTGTCTGCTCTATTTACGATATTTGCAAGGATCTTATCAGGGCTTGTTCGATATTTAATCCCCCACCACGTCAAAAATCAAATGATCGTATTACCTTGAAAAGATCTAGAAAGCGAATTGAACTCAAAGCTTCCTGCTTACCGAGACGTCTGGCAGACGATTGGTCACTAGAACTTGTTTTGTTTGAGAATGCAAATGAAAGTGCTTCGCAAGCAGTTTTTGATTGAGTGATAGAAAACGTACGGAAGCGAAAAATATGCTTATAAAGCACATTTTTTCGATGAGAGTTGTAAGCAGCTCATAGGCTAACATTTAATCGTTGTACTTTGTGCCGTTAGATTTATATATCCGATAGACTATATAGGACTGAATTAGTTTTGATGTTCAGGAAACCAGTATTAAAAACTATAAGCAATAGTACCAGAACTTTGTTTTATGATTCATAACCTTACTTTTGGTTCGGTTTCCTTTCGTTTTAATTTTCTCGAAACTATCATGTTCAAGGGTTTAGAGTCCACTTCTAAAAATTTCTCAAAGTAATGTACCCTTAATTTTGATTAAAAATCAAAAGATCGTTTATTGTATTTCGATGGAAGACCGAGCATGTGTGGTTTTTAAGTTGTTTATAAACCAGTGAAACGAGCACTTTTTCGTTTATTTTCAATAGACTTCTTGAGAAAAGAAGAAAAACATCTAGATGTCAAATGAGAAATCTATAGTTTTAAAAACATGGGAAGATCAAATGGTGTTCATAATAGAATATCCTGTATTGGTCAACAATTGATTATAGCATGTGAATGGGTGAGGGTTCCTCTCAGACTTAAATCCCTGAATGCATATGTGAGATCTAGAATACTTTACAGCGTTCAAACATGTTCAAACCTGAAAACTGACAAAGAGAAGGAAAGTAAGATATAGTATATGGCACCGTTTCTTGAGAAAATGATTAAGAAGGATACAAGAAAGACAGTAAAGAATGAGAAAAAGGAGGATCTGTTGACGACGAGGGATGGTCAATGAAGACCTACCTATACTACCACGCATAACTAACATGAAAGCGTTAGTTAGGCCCTGTTTACATGAGGTAGGGTGAGGTAGATAGGGTGGCACTAGTGGTAGGGCCAAAATCCTTTGTTTTCAATCCTCCCGGGAAAAGAAAACAAAAGAGTTAGCCCTACCACGTTGGGGCACCCTATATCATGTAAACGGGTTCTTAGAAAGGAATTGTGCACATTTATATCGAATGGACAATGGAGACTTCAGAAAACAAGTACTGTTGAATGATCAAGCTCCAAAATTGATTACTCTTTAGAGGTGAATAGTTATGTACTCCCAAAAAATATAAAGGAGAGAAATGATGTTCAGGGAAAACTTCCAGCGTCCGTCTTATTTGACTCAGTCCAATGGGCTGAGAGCCCAATAAAAGAAAACCCAAAGAAGATGGTTCTGGGTTTTAATATATATAAATATATTCTAAAATCTAAAACAATTTGTACTAAATGGGAAAAAAATAATTGTAGCTTGGATTTAGATTGTACATTCAGACACATCAAAAACTCATTTGCCTGCTTAGAGTCCATGTTATATTAAGTTTTCTTTTCCTTGGCTATGTGGCATGTATCCTCCTATTTCCTACAGTATTTGTTTCTCTAGAGGTTGATGTCCTGAATCACTAATTTGGACTAAATTTTCGTGTATAAAATTTCAAATTCGCATAATGCATATTGTAGGTTCGTGATATAGGTAATACGTAAAACACCTGCACTAAACAATGGGTAATGGCTACTTTTTAAGAACTGTTATCAACGTAAGGTATGTCGTAAAATTCCACAAAACTCAGTGGCGTTCTACAAATCCCTGGCAACTGCAAATTCAGTGTTAGGACGCGCAGACATGGGACTGGCAGTCGAAGATTTGAAATTGGATTTTGCTGGTATCGATGGACATATAAAAGATACCTTTTCAACACAACCTTGGATATATTTTTACTTCCACTGAAAATTAAAGGGAAGTAAGTGGCTGCACTCTTTAATTTGTAAGAACATTCTAGATGCTTAATTTTCTTGACAAGAAGGAGCCAATCATGCTAGCTTGAAGTGAACGTGATCGAAAATAAAATTATTACAATATTAATTATACTGTTCTGTAACTGATTTCTGAGACTAAGTTCAAACAACTCAGAAATGAAATGATGTGTAACTTAACGAACCTGGAAGTGCACTTTTTTACGTCAAAAAATCTCAGAATGCTGCTGGCATTTTTGCAAGGAAATGTTTGTCATTACACCTCAATGAGGTAGGAAGTGCTGTAGGCTCCAAGAGAGACGTGTCCCAACCATAGGCCGCCCAACTATTGTTTCAGAGAAGGAAAAGAACGAAGAATGCGCACGCTTTTTGTCTTAATTTACGGTAGTAGTGTTACCGGCGCGCGCTCAAAATGCGGGTTACCTGTGGTATGACGTCAGTGATCATCTTGCCTCGCGGGATCAAAAACTAGTCTGCATTCTTCGTTCTTTTCCTTTTCTGAAACAATAGTTGGGCGGCCTATGTCCCAACTTTATAAGTTACGTTATTTCCTCGGCATTACCATGCACGTGTAGTGTTTTTCCATTACAGTTTTCTTACAAAGTGAGAGTGTAGCCGGCGAATACAAAATGTTATTACTTGTCTTGAAAACTTTTCAGCTTTTGTCGGGATTGTGACTAACCTCTCAATTTTTCCATCAGTTAGGGTCGGCTACTGTGAAGCAATATAAATTCTCACCAGTGGAATGCTGTTCACTCAAAGTAAGTGTGCTCTAATATATTCAATGATATTATGTGTGTTCAAAATGTAGATATATACATGAAACTATTAAATTTCCCTATCATGACCAAGAAAAATACGGAGAGATAAGAGCAAATTGAATAATTGACATTTATGGCCGTTTATGGATGGTAAGATGATAAGATGCGGGTAGGCGAGTTTTTTACACGAGGCTTGGAAACATGACTACAACAAAGAAATATATAGAACTGCGAATTACTAACAAGAAACAACACGTGCTCTGAAGACTTTCGATGGCTTTGGACTGTCTTCAAAATTTGATAGAGTACACCTCTGCATCTCATTAGATATTTTATAAATTTCGTTGTAGTTCATATTTCAATTCACAACCTTTTTGCCATTGACTGTATATAGTGGCTTCAACACATGTATCTAACCGTCTAAATAGAGGTCCCCTATAAAACAGAGGCATTAAGTGGTATATACATAGTTATCTATGGCAAGCATAAATCATGACGTATTCTCAACATCTCCTTACATTACAATATCATCTTTACATTACTGCGCCGCACTGATGAGACCCAATAAGGTCGAAACAACAAGAAATTGGAGTTCACCTGGATTGATTGAAAACACGCGTTGTTGAAAACAAATATTCATTGAATTCTAATTGCTTGTTGTCTGTGGCTGTGACACATACATGCATTAGAGCTGAGATCAGTCGTCCACTCCTAATACCAAATTGTAGATCGCCAGATATGGTCAGTATGCATTTATTACTTGAACTAAGGACGCCCAAAAACTGAGTGATGAGAATTTATAAGGTATTGGTTACTTTGCAACATTTGCCAGGTACTGCTGGTAAAGATGTTTTACTTTATAAAGAACTAAGCCTTTACCACGTCGTCAGAAATAGAACACTATTTTATAATTTAATCCAACAAATTTTCCTCCCGCTCTCATTGGTCGAGAGTCGACAACTTGCGTGGATAGTGCCCGTCACGGATGGGTGCTATCACTGCATATAGCCTGCCTCTTTAGAAATATTTTGTTGTCAAATAATGAAAGCAATTGAAATAGAGCAGTTAAAATCTTGGTCATTATGATGTGATAGTTGCCCTTGAACTGCGTTCTCAGACGACTATTTGCTTTTCGGGACCGATCCAGTTTCCGCGAGAAACAGCATAATACCCACGTTTAAACTACTCTATTGTTTAAAAAGTGTAGATGGGACCGAGTGTATAATAATATTTTCAAAGATAACTGATGATATACTTCCCAGCGAGCCATACTGGAGTGAAGTTTTAGTAAAAAAAATGCCGTAGACGACGAAAGCTTAGATATTAAATAAAACCCCTTTACTAGCAGAACCTGTCCAAATTTGTCATTAGCCATATGCTTAGAGAGACTTTCAAACGATTGATCGAGTTCTAGCAGGATGGCAGTTCACGCGCGAAAAAATTATTGAAGTAAACATTGAACTGTCCCTTGATAAGCATTTACTTTTTCGAAATTTAATGAAGAACATTTTTTCCTCTTCTTTTGAAGGTCTGAGAAACTAGCCTGAAGAAAGAAACAGCTCCTTTGTGGCCTGTCCAATGCAATCTTTTCGGTTTCCCTCCATCTTTCCTATCTTGATTGTTTTCTCTTGTTAGCACTCGAGCGGCGGGTCATGCCAGCGCCACCTTGCAATCGTCGTTGCTATCCTTCTCAAAACGCGTACAGCGTAGTTCTATCTTCGTTTGCCAAGTTCTGATACTCAGTCTTCATCATTGTTTTGAATAAGGCTATCGTTCTTACTGATTCTTTCTGATATACATGCTTGTCGCACGATATTGTATAAAGGAGAAGGAGACGCGATTGTTTGTGCAACCCCTTTTATATTTGGAGTTATGACGTGGACCAACTAGAACCCAGTTAGCACGGCCGATGCTTTGCACAACTACATGATCACGGATATCGAGATGCAAAAATATCATAATGCTGTTGGCATAATGCATTCTATAATCCTCGTTTACCACCACTATATCTGATGTTTGTATTTTTCGCTCCCATCCATACACTAAAAGCGCTGATTCCATATTGAATTGCTCTTTAGCAAGATTACTTGTATTTTGACACTGACCATATATATAATATGTCTTTTTCACTTTTTTTTCGTCTAAAGCATTGAAGGCAAAATGGAGTCTTGATTCTTTGTCTTTGCTGGGACCAATATTTTTTCGCCATAATGAACCAAAATGTGTGAATTCCTCAGTCCTACTCTATCAATTTTCGTCCACAAAGATTTATCTTATCCTGCGTGCAGGTCTTTCTCGTTGTTTGTAACTTTATCTTGGTTTTCATCTTTGTTAATTGTATTTCCTAAGTCTTTTCTGTCCATTTTTTAAGTCAACATATTGCAGTTTTGTCCTGGAAGTCATCAAATTTTATAATGTCTTCAGCGAAATCGAAATCGGCTTCTTGTATCCTCTGTAGTCCTTTCACACTATGATCGTCTTCACTCACTCTAGAACAGATAGAAAGAGTATTCAAGCAGATATAATCGTCCACATACTCGTAGTAGAGAGCGGAGTAGTTTCTACCTTTTCCCTTTACTTTCCTAATCAGAAGCTTCACTGAATCCTGGCTCATTTTTGTAGCTCGAAATGGGAAACACCCTCATGCATGGTCTTATGCTAGCTTTATCTGTTGAAAATAACATCCTCCCACTTATCTATGATGATGCCACATGATTTTAAGGAAGCTTCCATATCATCCTTAAAGCGCTTTCTTTGACCACCCCCTTTCTTTGTTTGTGTGACGCAGTTATTTTGGAAATCGAGAATTTTGCATTCCAAATAGATGCCCAGCGAAATTCTTCGACACTGGAACAATTTACTTTACAATTGTTCGTCGATCTTCAAGTGTCGTCGATAAAGTCGACGGGGAGCCATTAATATAAAGGTATTACAACAAATACAAATATTTTAAAAATGGGTGATGGATTTCTTGCAAACGGAAGAATATGCAAGATACACGTTAACGTAGCTTGTGTTTAATGAATCATTGTTGATGTAGATATGTTTTTGGCCATGTCGACCTGTGCGTAAAATGTAGTACTTTACTTTTTACGCACAGGTCGGCATGGCCAGCAAAATCATGTTTATATATACCAACAATTGATTCATTACAAAAGCTACGTTTACGCGTATCCAAAAAGCTGCAATTCAGGTTGAGGAATCTATAAAATCAACTTCGTGGATATTATAACATAATATATTAAGATACTTAAGAGCAATTTTCTGTAAGCATCAAGAATCACTTGGCAAGGCTACCTCACTGATTCTCATGATATTCCATGCACTAATACTCTTTGGGTTACTGATCATCAAAAACCATTTGGTTTTTGGATTCTCAGTTTTCCTGATTTTTAAGAGCAGTTGCTTTCTTTGGTGCCTCAAAACACAAATCTCAACCTCAATTTGATGTACAAAATAAAGCCCCCCAAAATGGTATTTTTACTTTCATAATCAGCAAATTTAGGGATTAGCCGTTGAAATGCATCTTTGCTTTTATCGTTAATAGCATTTTCATTTGGAATAGTTAAATTCCCAAACTTTGGGCTTCCTCTTTTGGAAGCCATATTTTTCTCGGTTTTCATAAGTCTGAAATTCCGTATTTTAAAAAATTTGTATCTCCTGTGCCATATACCCAAATCAATCCATCTTTTTTTTGCAAACAAGGAATCTATCGATCTTTTAATGTGCTAAATACTAGCTCTGGCAAAGTAAGATTTCCTATAAAAATTTCACAACATGTAGACCATGGTTTTGTGAAAACACGTAAATATGCCTTTACTTAATTGCTAAAATATTTCTTAATTTACAGGATATGAAATCAAAATCTACTCAAACAATTTGTACAAAGACCGAAATGTCCATTTATACAATGTAAATGCACTAAAATGTCATGAGTTTTGCATTCTCAGCTCGTTTATAGTAGTAATTTTGACTGAACTTACAGCATATTCGAAGCAAAACATTTAACTCACCTTAAAAAATACTTTCGAGTGAAATAGCAGTGTTTATCAGCTCTAAAGGTTTAATCACATCTTTAAATTAGTTCTGGAGTACTTTTCAAGCAGTCAAACSGTCTAGGAGGGAGTTTTTATGCATGTWGTTAGCAAAATGAAGGGTAGCTTCGACGATATTTGACACTTGATTTCTCCTCGAGCGAGTAAATTGGCTTCTTATATATCTTTAACTTCACATCGACGAAATCGTAGCCAAAAAGAATTCATTTCAAGTTCTGCTTCTTTTCCTTCACAAGTTATTAGCTTTTGGTGGCTAACTTTACAGTATTTTCCGTCGATATTAGCATAATGTTGGCGAAATATTAGCATAACTTTGGTGTAAATACCGCTGAGGAGTAAGTCGAATTGGCGGGAAACAGCTGTGTTTATTGTTATTTGTGTGTGTACATAGAAGGCTGATTATGTTTGTGTTAGACTTGGTGCAAGTCGACCTCTTGATATTCACATAATCGAAATATGCCAGTAAAGAAAGAAAAACTCCATTGCATTTGYTTAAAGCTCGTTGTCTTTCTGCATCGCGGCTCTGATTTTGCGAGGGGTACCTGTGTTTTGATTTAGCTTTTTTGACGTGCACGCAGGGAAGAAAGAGTCCAGTTACAAATATTTTTAGCAGCTCAAATTATATGTCTAATTTCTCATCTAATTTTTAGATATATGATGTCTACAATGAGGATGAGTTATGTTTATGAAAAAATTATATTTTTTTATATGTTTTCACTTTTTGGACAATAAAAAACGCACCTGATTTTGCAGTCCTTAAATGYGCATGTRAATCGCATTGTGCAAACCATGGAGKTGAAGACCTAAGCTCAATTAGATATTTCACCCTAGCGGAAATGAATATGACAAAAATAAACGTCATTGATAAAAACGTGCTTTTTCTAATTTTCCAGCGCGTCCCCAAGCGGTCACGATGATAAAAACAGTTTTTCAAGTTATGGAAATTTGAAAATATTTCAAAAATGCTTGTAATGTAGTATATAATACTTTTTTTTTATTTTATGAATGTGGTTAAAACACAATCAATCGGAATGTATACAAAATCCCCTTTCCGCTGGGCTTCCTGTGTTTGATTCTATAAATGATTTGTGTTTCTTTGTTAGCCATGCAGCATAATATGAATAACAATAAACTGATAAAGCAGTTTCGTTGATATTTGTACGATTAAAATAACTGAATTCCAAAATTAAATGAAAGAAAATATTCGATGCGATTCATCACTTTTTTGGAACCTGTAAGTATATAGCTTCCCGTCCTTTTTATTCTCATTTCACTAAACTTGATACGCGTTATTGGTCGCATAAACACAAACATTTGAGTGCTTGCAGAACATTTTGACCGCGTTCAGAGAAACTTGTTTAAAATATGCATCACATTTAATAACAGTTACAATTTTGATAACACCTGCACGACATTACTTTAAGATATCTCAAGTGGTATGAAATATTACGATCACATTCTTGTAAAGCCGATCAATCACCTACATTACAATCGTCTAAACAATCCCGCAGAGTTCACAGAAATTACACATGTCAGTTAGTAGAAAGTGTAAGAAAAACAGCTGTTTCCCGCCAATTCAACTTACTGCTCAGCGGTATTTACAGCAAAGTTATGCTAATATTTTGCAAACAATCAGCAGATTTCGACGGAAAATACTGTAAAGTTAGCCACCAAAAGCTAATAACTTGTGAAGGAAAAGAAGCAGAACTTGAAATGAATTCTTTTTGGCTACGATTTCGTCGATGTGAAGTTAAAGATATATAAGAAGCCAATTTACTCGCTCGAGGAGAAATCAAGTGTCAAATATCGTCGAAGCTACCCTTCATTTTGCTAGCTACATGCATAAAAACTCCCTCCTAGACGGTTTGACTGCTTGAAAAGTACTCCAGAACTAATTTAAAGATGTGATTAAACCTTTAGAGCTGATAAACACTGCTATTTCACTCGAAAGTATTTTTTAAGGTGAGTTAAATGTTTTGCTTCGAATATGCTGTAAGTTCAGTCAAAATTACTACTATAAACGAGCTGAGAATGCAAAACTCATGACATTTTAGTGCATTTACATTGTATAAATGGACATTTCGGTCTTTGTACAACTTGTTTGAGTAGATTTTGATTTCATATCCTGTAAATTAAGAAATATTTTAGCAATTAAGTAAAGGCATATTTACRTGTTTTCACAAAACCATGGTCTACATGTYGTGAAATTTTTATAGGAAATCTTACTTTGCCAGAGCTAGTATTTAGCACATTAAAAGATCGATAGATTCCTTGTTTGCAAAAAAAAGATGGATTGATTTGGGTATATGGCACAGGAGATACAATTTTTTTAAAATACGGAATTTCAGACTTATGAAAACCGAGAAAAATATGGCTTCCAAAAGAGGAAGCCCAAAGTTTGGGAATTTAACTATTCCAAATGAAAATGCTATTAACGAYAAAAGTAAAGATGCATTTCAACGGCTAATCCCTAAATTTGYTGATTATGAAAGTAAAAATACCATTTTGGGGGGCTTTATTTTGTACATCAAATTGAGGTTGARATTTGTGTTTTGAGGCACCAAAGAAAGCGACTGCTCTTAAAAATCAGGAAAACTGAGAATCCAAAAACTAAATGGTTTTTGATGATCAGTAACCCAAAGAGTATTAGTGCATGGAATATCATGAGAATCAGTGAGGTAGCCTTGCCAAGTCATTTTAAATTTTCTTGGTTGTTACAGAAAATTGCTCTTAATGGATTATACCTAGACTTTTTTTTATCTCTTTTTATTTTAGGTAGATGATCTATTGACTGGAGTTTATTGTATGTACTGTTCGTCATTGCATGTGGAGAAAAAACAGGGTGAATACGGACCTGTATCAACAAAGAGATACAACATTAGATTTCTGTCAGGGCACATTTATTGATGTAGAGAATTTTGAGGATAAGATTTCAAGTGTGAACTGTCAATAACAACTTCTACCAAAGAATAAAGCTGAAGCTATCGATTACAACAATCCACAAGAATCGGAAAAGTTGGTACTACATTCATGATAAAAACTGTTGGAATACACATTCATGATATTTGGAGAAACCTGATGGAAGACAAATTCATGATATTTGGAGAAACCTGATGGAAGACAAATTTATGATATGTAATGATATTTGGAGAAGATTGATGGAATACACATTCATGATATTTGGAGAAACCTGATGGAAGACAAATTCATGATATTTGGAGAAACCTGATGGAAGACAAATTTATGATATGTAATGATATTTGGAGAAGATTGATGGAATACACATTCATGATATTTGGAGAAACCTGATGGAAGACAAATTCATGATATTTGGAGAAACCTGATGGAAGACAAATTCATGATATTTGGAGAAACCTGATGGAAGACAAATTTATGATATTTGGAGAAACTGATGTAATGATATTTGGAGAAGATTGATGGAATATACATTCATGATATTTGGAGAAAACAGTGATGGAAGACAAATTCATGATATTTGGAGAAACTGATTGAATGATATTTGGAGAATATTGATGGAAGACAAATTCATGATATTTGGATAAAATTGATGGAATACAGATTTATGAAGGATATTTGGAGAAAACAGATGGAATACACATTCATAATATAGTTGAAGTCAATTGATGGAATATACACTGAATGTACTACCTCCCTTCAAAGAAAACCACAAGAATTTGGAATGGTCCCAGAACTGTTACTGTTCGGAAGATATCAAAAATATTGGTTATAATTGTATTCCAGAAATCGTACATTATATGTATCACACCGACCAGTCACAAGATAGGATTCTCTAACCACAAAACTAAGAGAAATGTATGGCAGGAGTTTAGATCCACAAGGAAACGACTACCTGAATGATTGCTTGGACGACAGTCCTTCGCATGAGTTCTCGCATACTGGACATTCTTCTTTTGCCGAGATTCATTGGATGGAAGGATTAACTTTTAGCTGATGTTGAAAAGGCTTGTTAAAATTTACTATACAAGAGGAGGATCTGGCGTGATAAAATTAGATTTGGCTATTGACTGTGTTAGTACAAATAGGCAAAATCCTGAGATTATTACACTTCAAGATGCAAAAGTGAATTGATTTTGATGATACATTGCATCATCGCATCAATGAAGATCTAGACAATGGATGTGATGTGGACTAATTTAATCATTATATCTTGCGTGATGTGTTGTCCATTGGATCAAATAATTAGAAGAAGGGTGTGAACTGTATATCGGTGTAGAAGACTGCTAAAACGGTTTCAATGAAGAAAACGTCCAACCTACTGAGGAAATGGAAATCAAACAACTCTATGAGCTTGTGAAATTGTTTATAAATGACTGCAACAGTTAAACCGTAACAGTAGAAGAAAAGATTGAACAAGATGACCAGCAATAAAGTAATCATAAACAATATGGATAATGGTGAAATTGAAGCTAAGAATAGTATTTTTGGAGTTCCATCGAAATGTTCTTCTGAAATTTAACTCGGTCAGTATAACACGGGTCTGTGCGCGATGTTACTGCTTACGTGGAAACCAGTTCTTTGGGACGTATAAAACTGAATCCCACAGGTTTATCCTGGGCTTATAGCTCTAATGAGTAAACAACAACAATCTCTGCATACCTGAAGATAAAGGATGGTGCTGCTCTATACTCGACTCTGCTATCACAGGGCCTCGCAGCCACGAAACATACTGACGCCGTAACAGGCCGCATATCATTCAAGGAAGTCTAAGTTTAAAGACAAACTACGGAAACCATATAGACATACTCTTTGTTTGAAAGATACTTGTTTGCATACAAACTTGCCGACTTCATCCAATTCCTTAAAAGGTCCTCTCAGAATCGCAATAGGGGTTCAGAACAGAGAGTATTACAATTGGCATGATTTTCTGCCGGACAGTACAGGGAGACAATAAAAGGACCATTACATGCCATTCATTAACCTGCATCAGTTTTTATCGATAGCGGGCCTACCAAGAGCTTTGAAATAAAGACAGGAGTTAAACATGCCTGCTCAGTATAGCCTATACATTGTTCTCCATTTTCATTCCTTGCTGTATCATACCAGTTGCAATGGAGTACTCCTCAGACTCAGCACTCAGGTGTTCGATAATCATCAGTATCGGGACACTCAAATTAACACGAAGATATTGGCTGATAACGGCATAATATTGATAGCCTTATTACATGGATCAGACGCTTGAATCATCTGCACTTCAGAAGCTTTGACTACTTACACTAGCCACTTAAAGGTCCCGGCGGAGTAGTATCACTAGCGTTGTCTTCGTCGCATACTTAATGTCAAATTGTGAGACAGACAAACCTACTGTTTTGGATGAAGACGATGCTGCAAGCATTGAATCTATCATTATAAAGAAGCAACTTTGCTGGGATGATCATATATCCGTGTTCCCCTATCTCAGCTTCTCATGAAAATATTTCAAATACAATGTGAGCTTTAAAATGGTATAAGCGAAATAAGTGGTAGTAAACGAAAAACGTTCTCAAGGACAACTGGAAAGGCACAACATGAGACATGCGCTATAAACGGCCTATGGGACTACTGAGGAAGGCTATCTCGGTAGAGAAACACCAATACAGTGGTATTGCGCACTGTGAACAACAAGGAAAGGATCCTAAGACTTCGCTTTGCAAGAAACAATTAACTGGCTGCTGTAGACGGCGCCGACTTAACCTCCTCTGTGCTTTATGTGACCCACAAGCTTACGAACATGAGCTCAGTCCGGGGCATCAAAAAAACTCAATACGATTTTTACCGAATATTACCACAACTCCAACTCCGTGTGATAGCACTGGAAAATGAATTCTTAACTCTGGACTTATGAAATTATTATCCAATTATAATATACATTCTGCTGGTTGGAGGGCCCATTGCAATGATTAGGAACAAAAGGAACGTCATCATCTTGCCGAACTTTGATCCCCTATGTTTGCTTGACAGTAAACGTAATGATCGCAGCCAAGATCTTCAATAAGCTCCTATTCTGAATCGCCTTTCTATCTGCAGTAGACCTGCTGCTGCGCAACAATCAGAACAGTTTCAGAAGGGGACGATCCACCAACTCGCAGATACTGTCCTTACGCCGCATAATAGCTGTAATAGAAGAAATGAGAATAGGCTCGACAAAGATTTCACGATCTGCTTTGTCGACTTCAGAAAAGCATTCGACTCCATCAAACGAGAAGTTATGTTCAACATCCTTCCTTTATACGGAATTCCACTACTTATCTTCGCGGCCATTAAATCACTCTATACTGACACCCAGTTATCTACAGTTATCACTCCTGATGGTGAAACCGAGTTTTTTGATATCGAGGCGGGATATCAGATCTTGTCGCTAACGCCGTATTAGGACTCCACTGGAACGAAAGTAAAATCCCAAACTGCAGTTTTCTATCATCTGCCGGTAACGGTATTAACCAAGTTGAAAACTTAAGCATCTCGGGTCCTTCATAATGGCTTCCGAAAAAGACATGATGATCAGCCTGTAATAAGCTGAATAACATATGGCATTCGACCCTCGCCAATGAAACGAAAGTACGTCTTTATTAATTGAGCCCATTCTCCTCCACCGTGCAGAAACATGAACACTTACCAAAAGCTAACATATCCTGGGAAAACCCCGTCCTTGTCGCAAAAGGTCGCCATGAGTAGGCTGTCGTTCGCCGACATTGCCATCGGGCCACTTAGGAAATATTATTGCCTTTATTGCTGTGGAAACCTCGTGGCCTTGTCCGTTACAGAGGCCTCGCTTACCCAGAAATGGAGACAGAGGACCTCCCTGTGGCCATGGCGGACTGAGAAGTGTGGAAGCGTGTCATCGAGTGTGCCCCCGGACCACTAGGGTCAGCTGGCTTTGAAAAAAGTATTTATTTCCCTCGGTATTATCATTGCACCAGTGCATAAGGATTTTCTATAAAGTCTACACGTTTCATTGGTTATGTGAAGCCTTTTGAAGACATTATTGGACATTCAGTGAAACAGTCTAGTCCATGAGAACTTAAAACTAACTGTAAGACAGAACAATTGCAACATTGTCCAGGGGCACAGAACCCTAGAGATTAAGTAACTTCCTAATTAATATCTGACAAACAATGATTTATTGTGAAAGGGACTCAAAAGAACCAAAGAGCAAGTGTCCGTCAAAACCAGATGTAATTGATCCAACAGGAGATTTGCAAAAGAAGGAAACAAAGGAACCGAATAAATCTGTCACTCTACTGAGCATGCTCAGTTCAGCTGATGTGTATGCAACAAATCCTTGAGTGCTATATTTTGGGCTTTGAGCTACCACTCTTCTATACTCAGATCAGTAATCAGTTATTACTACCCTTAAAACCGGGCTGCACAAAGGACTGATGTACAATCATTTGCGGTGAACTGACAGCAAAGGAACTTGGGTGGAACACAGAACATTTATGTATACTGGAAATACAAGCAGTGCTCATTTTCATGATAGGTCTCCAATTTGCGTTATATGCGATGTCCAAGCATTCTCTAGAGTTGGCAATGACGTGGCTGGAACCTTTTTCATTAGAGCTGTAAACCCAACGAAGACGGTGAGAAGCAAAGCAAAGTATGTACATTAATTTGTTGTTTGCTTGAACAGCATCAAGAACTGTTCAACCCACAACTTTTAACTGATTTATTGTTTAAACCATTTATAAGATCTCTGGACAGGTCTAACAGAAAACGTGGTATACCTCAGCCAAAAGTCCATAACTAGAATTGTTCATCTCTATCATAATGCCCTCACAATCAGATGTGCAGACAACCAATCACAACGTGCACACATCGAGTTTTAGATTTAAAAGTTGTCAAAACTTTCGGTGTGGGACGGTGCTATAAGGTATGAAACACCTTAAGATATTGGCATATCATTACTAAAGTATATGCCACAATGTTGTTATATTTTTGTGTACAAGAAGAAATTTATCTGCATTTCATGTGAACGAACTTTTCAATTCGATTTAACAGACATTTTATTGTTTAAGACATACACACGCATGCTTAGTGCATTTCTCCCTAGTGTCACTGGACAATTCTAGTTGTGGACTTCTGCTCAGTTGAATGTACGTAATAATGCAAAAAAAAAAAATAGCAAAAAAAAGACAAAAAGACAAAAAAAAACTTCAAAAGAAGCAAAGTAACTGCTTAGCAAGCTTTTCAAAGAGATCGAAAGTGGTAACTAGGTCACTACCTGGCAATATATTCTTCAAGGGGGCTTATGGTGGTGTGAATTTTATGAACGGATGATTGGTATTGTTACGTCAGGTATGTGCTACCTGTGAAGAATTGCTAACTGACCTAAGCTGTCGACCAATGATTGACATACATCAACTAGGAAACATTGTGTCAGTCACATCTAGTTGCTGACCAAGTGAGAAATTTGAGGGCCTGATCATATAAGGGGGAAGTCCAGTTAAACGGGCTGGTTTCATTTGTTTTCTTTTCCCTCTAAGGGACTCAAAACAAAAGGAATCAGCCCAGTCAACCGGGTAGCCCGCCGTGCACTTCACTCAACAACAGCACATAAGTTAAGTAGTTGAGATTGACAAAAACAAGCGACCAATATTTCAGGACTCGTCATCAGAGAAGATAAGTATATAGTACACTGTACTATTGTGAAAGCTAGTCACAGGGCCAAATACATTTCTATTTCTATTACATACAGAAAATAAACAAGAACCACTTCGTGGAACATATTGTGTCCAGTTTTACCGTGCATTATATATTTTTGTCAGCGATAGATTGATAGATTTTGCGTATGATCTTTTTCATCATTGCAGCAAAAATTTAGCATTCAGATTGCATTCGCATTATCCTCAGAAAATTTATAAGATGAAGGATCGAACCTTTGAACTCTGGATTATGGGTCCCTTCGTGGAAAAAAAATAAAGTCGCCCGCATTTTATAACCATAGGAAAAATATTTAAGAGAAAATAGATCGGATTCATTACTAACTTATCCAAGATTTCAGGTTTTCACGATTTTGAATACAGTAAGCCTTAGTTTTCCAATTCACGTTCTCAAACTCATTAATAATTCATGAYTTCATAGTCCAATCGGATGTTTATTTTAGAGTCACGTGMAYACCCTTGGATACCATGATCCAACATCGAATGCTAATTAGTTCCAAACCCGTGTGTTTAGATATCCAAATCCATGTGTTTGGATATCCAGACACATGGGTTTGGAACTCATTAACATAAATTTGCTAGACTCTTAAAACTTCTCCGTTACTTTTAACCACTTATCTTTTTGAGGTGTTTTTTCTCTTCTTGTTACTTCTCTAATCTTTATTTTAACTAATCAATTTTTATGTTATGTTATTTTACTATATTATATTAACTACTTCTTACCATTGGAGTGGCTCGAACCGGTGACCTTTGGGTTGAGAGTCCAGTGCGTAACCAACTTAGCTAGTGATGATTTTGTTGAAAGTATTGGGTTTGACGTATTATTTATATTTCTCCTTGTGGCTAATATTAACTTATTACACGTAGAAAATCGATAGATCTATATTTGCTAAAGAAGCGATTATACTTTATAGTTGTCCACGGTACATTTAATGGTCAGTTTTTTTCATTCTTATAGAGATGTGTACACATTTTGCATATTTTGTACTCATCTTTTATTCTTTATATTTATTCTATGAATACTTCATTCATATTTRAACATACATATTTCTTATTGAGGTTTTTTGTAATACACATTTATGACAAATTGATCACTGGGTTTACTGGAGCATTGGATGATATACGTTTCTCCCTCTTGTCGCCTGCTGACCGACCGGGTACTGTTGATGTACTCGTGGGTATGGTCATGGTCGAACCCACAGGTTGCGATCCGAGAACGTTTGACACTTTCTTGCATACGTTTGTACTTGGTTTTTCGTAATGTCTACACATTTGCCATGACATGAAAATTTCCACGGCCCACTTCGTTTTGTATTGTAGATTGTGGCGTAGTTTTGACAATAACTCAGCATCTTCTTCTCGAGTTGTTGGATCTCGAAAGCTACACGCGGAGGTTGCCTCCGCCATTTCAACTTATGAAATTGAACTGAATAAACAGAACTACTGCAAATTTATTACAAATCTCTCTCCTTTGGGGTTTATATATATAATAGCGATTGATGATGCCACTTTCATTCTATTCATACCCAAAATAGGACTGATGAATAAATCCAATTACGGTCTTTAAGGAATTTGCCAGCTGAAGTCATTCATTATCAATTTGTTTGAGAAATCAGATCAAAAACTCGTGCTTCGTGTTTCATCAGGGGAATCCAAACATCTCGAAACGCTAAAAGCACTTGGCCTTCGGCCGCGTGCTTTCATCTGTTTCTCGGTGTTTGGATCCCCTGATGAAACACTCGCACTCGTTTTTGATCTATTACAACGAGAAACATTTTTATTTTCTGAGGAATCGCATCGGAAAGGCGTGTGTACTTTTAAAAATACTAATTCTATACCTAGATGATTATTACTTCACTAAATCGGGTAACAGTAACCTGTAAAAGAAGTAACTGGACTGGAATAAGGTAGAATTAACTGGAAGAGTTAAAAGTTTTCAGTTACTGTACGTGGGACAGGGGCGCATCCAGCTGGTGGGTGCAGGGGGTGCGCACTCCCCCCCCCCCCCTGTATCCTTCAATACTTTTCTTATTTTGTATCTTCATGGTAATGATTTTTGTGGGGTGCACTCCCTCCTGAAAGCCCCGCACCCCTCCCTGAGGAAAATCCTGGATCCGACCCTGCGCTTGATTTCCAGATAGCAAAGGTCGTCGCTTTGACCACCCTATGGAGTTATTGACAGCAAACTATATATTGAGTTACCTGACACTTGGTGAGGATAAATGGTTGTAATTGGAGATGCTGTTACGTTTTGAGTCAAAGATGGCTCATGAGACCTGAAATAACCAGAAAATCCGACACAAAAAATCACCAAGAAACACAAATAAAAAACAACAATTAACTAAATTAATAGCTGACTTATGAAGGATTGTTAAGAAACTTTTAGCTATTCCCTCATTCTTCATCGCACGCTGGAAGTTGCGCAAGCTCTAGGCACAATGGATTACAAGGGATAAGAATGTGAGATTGTGCGCATGCGTGTAGTTTACCTATCTAAGAGATCCCACACGTCAACGCTGCCATCAACTTTAGTGATGAAGAACACTCCTTCAAAACAAAATGCAATTATGTATGGAAATGATTTAGAGACAAATTTAGTTACAAGATAATAATTCTCATTAAACAACTGTGAGTGATATCAATGTTTCTGATAGGACAGCTGCTGTAAAGAAGTGACTACGTGCTGTGTTATCTAGGATGTAAAAGAGTTTTAGCTTGTCTCAGTCTACTTACCAGGTCTTGAAGGACTCCAGTGTCCCTTGGTTAGTTTAAGAATGTGACTCGCCGACTGAAGCAAAGGATCACTCTAAAAATCAAAATAAGAAATCGCACTTAGCTTAGAAATCACGTCAAAATCTCTCCAAACGTCTCCAAGAAAAACTGAAAAGACAAACGAAAGACGCTGACTGAATAGGTGTTGCTGGAATGGGAACCAAAAAAAACATCAAAACTAGACGATNTGTCTTCATGGTAATGATTTTTGTGGGGTGCACCCCCTCCTGAGAGTCCCGCACCCCTCCCTGAGGAAAATCCTCGATCCGCCCCTGGTGGTATGTAAATTGTGATCACGGATTGCGTGGATAACTAAGCGATCGAGCGCTCATAATCGTGGAAGTGGATTGTCCCAGAGTGACTATAGACCATAAATGAAAAAGGGCGTGGATATCGAATGCCTTTAGTTTATAAGTTGCTTAAAATATCAAGGAGAAAACGTTGAGGTGCTATTGCTGGAAACGTATCCCGACACGCAATTGCTTTGTCTTCTATCATCTGAGCCAGCTCCTTTTCAACCCTGTCCCATATTTTCTTCGGGGTTGACACGTCGAATAATAACTGTTTCTGTAGGCGTTGTTACTACCCTTTGAAAGAACATTTTAGTATAATGAGTAAGATCTTAAAGTTTTAATGCTCTAACATTTAAGAACCAGAAATTACAGGCGTTTAAAATTGCAAAGTGTTTGAAATTTTTATCAACTGATCATTGGCTTTCCTTTAAGTTGTAAATAGATAAACATTTTTTTGTGCTACCATCCTTTCTTCCAATAATACATCAAAAGACAAAAAGAACTACCAACGATTCTAGATTTAAAGTTATTGCTTGGGCTCCCTGTGGATTTCACCAGGGTCTTGTACCCAGACCGGGTCTTGCTACATCAACACCCACTTGTTCTTGTCCCTTGTCGTCCCTTGTTGTATTGGCCGTGAAGACTCTGGGCTCGAGATTGATATTCAGAACCGGGGGGGCGAAGGGAGGGCGAGGTGAAGACGTTTACAATGGAAAGCATTGCTAGATATGATGTTGAATTTGTTAATCCAATCGAGAAGAAATATGTATGTCCACTGTGTAAGAAGGCTTTGCAAGACGCCATGCAAACTGAATGTGGTCATCGCTTTTGTGCTTCGTGTATCGACCCTATACTGAGGTATGATCGATTTGAAGTGCTGGAAAACATGAAGTAACTTAAAACAGTCATTCAAGCTCTTGCTTTTGAGTTTGTTTTATAATTTAAATGTATGTAAACTGAAAAAAACAATGTTATTAAGGCTGTTAAAAATGGCAGCAATGAGGCTCCGGCTTATTATAAAGTGCAACTCGACTGAAAGTTGACCGTTTGAATTTGGCGCGAGAATATGTAACTTAAGTAAGTTAAGCTTAATTTGTTTATCTTAAACAACTTAAGAAAGAGGCTTTCTTTCTTTTTTGCTGTCTATATTGTAAATTATATTTTCAGTATTAATTATTAACTCGCATACTAAATTACATAATTTCCGCCATCTTGATATCAGACGTACTGAAGAGTGATCATCATGAGTTTATTGTCATTATTCATTTGGAATATTTTTGTGTACAAAGAAAAGGTCTAAAAACATAACTTACTAGATATAAATTTTATACGATTTAAAAACCAGTGTATTAGGTATTTGACGCTGCATAAAAATTGCCTACTTTCTTGGGTACCAACATGACTTTGATCATCATCGTGTGTGAGCAGAAATACTTCTAAAAGGGGGAAAATAAATTCAAATGGCAATACAAAAATAACTTTTGAAATGCATTGTGGTTGTTAGAAAATGGACAAAAAGATAATAGCCTGTGAATGACAGCACAAAGAAAGCTTTGAAACAATTAAGTTTTTCTGGCATGGATAATAATTATTGTTTCCTTCTCATATACTCTTCCAAAAAGGCATGTTGATATAAATTGAGTTTTGGATATAACTATCCGCCTAAATCTTTCACTGCCACTTACACCTTACGTTTGACTAAAGTTGCCTGTTGTGGTGTAACAGTAGTGAACAAAAGTTGCTGATGGTAAAACAATTAAAAAGTCTGAATAAAATGCAATAATTAGTTGAAAACTTTTGACTTTGTTCATAGCCTGAAGTCACACAAAGGGTCAATGCTATGATAATTCCCAATTTATTGAAATTGAAGTAAACCAAGAGATGTGGCTTTATCAATCATTGAGCAAAATTTGTTCACAAATATGTTAAATAGATTTTGTTAGTTGATGATGTCATGATTTCATCTTTTGAACCAAAATTTCTCAACTGTGGATGATTCCCAGGCAAAAATTATCCTCATCAAGTTTTCTAATATTGTATAAATAAGTTTGAATTACTAGAGGTTTTAAAATTGATGATTTCTTGTAGGAGTAGTCCTTTGAATTTCATGAAGTATTGATTTACTATGATAAGAAATGATGCATTCCTTACACAGGAAACCCAACCCTCATTGTCCATTGGATGGTGAACCATTAACAGAAGGCGCCTTCAAGGATGTGTGCTGTCGCCGTGAAATAGGTAGCTTGTTCTGCTACTGTATATTCAAAAAGCATGGCTGTACATGGCAAAAGGAGCTAATGTATTTAAAGGTAATAGTAGTCTATGGATGAATTGTTGATCCTGATTTTTAAACACTAGTGACTATAATTCACTTTAATACATGTACAGCTCATCCATTTACAAAGGTTTGGAAAAAAGCAAAGACATCTCAGCCATTGTTCAACACATCACTTCACTGTCTTGCTGTTTTATTCAAAAAAATGTTTACATATACAAAAATGCATGATTGTGCTATCAATGCACATATGATAGTGGTTATAAATGCCACTCCTTGCATTTTCTTCTGGTTGAGGGACATATATCTATAAAACCATCTCAGTGCTGCCAAAGTGCAATGTATGACTTACATTGCTTGCCTTGCTTGCCTTGCTTGCCAACAATTGTGGATCTACCCTCAGCTAGACCTTATTACTAAAATAATTTTAATCATGTGTCATACATTTCTGGGTGACAGCAACACCAATGGGAACATAAAGATTTTCAAGATGCATGAAAAATCTGTCTGCTATAATAAACCTTAAAGAACAGAAGAAATACAGTAATGTGAATAACCTAACCACTTTCATAAGAAAGGTTTAAAGAATTGACAAAAGGCAACGTTGAAAACAAGTATTATAGTACTACTGTTTGGGTGTCAGTATTGGGTGATGGTTGACCTAAGATGTGATATATCCACAACCTGCTTCACTAAAAGCACCATAAAAACAAGAGATCTGTGGATCTATGGTAGCCTCACCTGTTCCAAGGCAAGATTTTCTACTATTAGATCCTGGCTTTACAACAACTTCAATGTCAAACAGTTTTCAAGGTGACAACATCAAAGAATGAAGATGGAAGGTCAATTTATGAGATGTCCTCTGTCATTAATATTATGGTAACAAGTGAATTTCTGTTTTACCACCCAAGGTATAGCATTAACAATGTTCAAGATACTGGAGTGTGGCTGTCTGACTGATGGATGTGCTGAGTTGTAACCATAAAGTCTCAATGAAATCTCAATGAAAGCTGTGAGAATCTTGAGAAGACTACACAATTGTTTAGTGGCTCAGATGCCGAAAGAAAATGAAAAATAACTGGAATCATTTTGATATGGATCACCAAAGAAAGAATAAGTGAATAAATATAGAAGATAGAAGATCTGCACTTCCCCTGTTCTTCATGCCAATGACATAAATATCAAAGCAAAGAAATAGCTTTAGATGGATAAACTTCAAATTGCAACCACCTGTAAAGTGTCTTCACATAATAACCTTGGATCAATGTGCACTGAGATGCCTTAATTGTTGTAATGAATTGATGTTGGTGTTTACTGCTGAATGTGTTCTTTTTCATGTTCTTGTTGTGTGTCATGTTACTAAACATAATGATTATGACAAGCATACAAATAAAAGGCCGAGACCCAGATGGAAGCAATGACACTCCATTTGCTTGTCAGATGCTCTAACCACTGAGCTACTGGAAGTACTATGGTGAACTAGGTTGGTCCCAAATCTGAATATCACAAACTATAACGATGTATATATGTTTTTTTTCAGTGATTCTCGTTCCCCAGGTAAAATCCTGCTTTTTGATTCCATAATAACGACAATTTATCCCTGCTCCTTTCCAATCCATAAATAACCTTCGTTATCCCGATTCGTAGGATATTACATGCAATCCTGATTGAAAATCTAAAACTCTGATCCTTAAGCCCAAAGCAATGACGAAAATGTGGTCTCTGACCCTAGAAATGACACTGATCCCATATGCCTCGTTTTACTGCGCCGATCTTAAACGTTCTTTGCCACCATATTGGATCTTGTGATCAATCAAGAGACAGTTTAGATGAATTGATTAAAGAGCGGTCAGTGTCTTTTAAACTAATGGATTGTCATGGATTGGTGCTCTGACGTTGACATCACGGCACATACTAACAGACTCGTACCCGGTCGTTACATATTAATTTTCGATACGCTTGAAGGGGTTGATGGGAAGGAGAGAAAGATTTCCTTCGTCCTTCCCTAAATGCATTGTGCGCCGCTGGAAAGAAGCGACAGGATACGAGTCTGGCATACTAACTCATGCCATTTGAAAACTGCTTTCGAGTTTTTTGGGTGCATGGAAAAATCAGTTTAAATCGTATATGTTTGTTATTCCAAAAGGATCCATGTTAAATTATGTTACAACGATTCATGTTTCCATTAAAAATTACTTTTTACTAAGTTTGCATTTGGATACTAACATATTTAACTGAAACTACACGTAGGATCACTTATCAAATTGCGAATTCCAAGAGATCCCATGTCCTAATCCTGGCTGTGAAGAAATGGTACCTAAGAACAAACTAGAGCATCATAAACATGAAACATGCAGCTTTAAACCATCACGATGCCAACATTGTGGACAACTTGTGCCGGAAGTACACATGGAGGTTTGTGACATTCTAACAGCATTGCTGATAACATTGTTCATTAAAATGAGAGATGCTTTCGTCTGTTGAAATAATGAGATCTACTGTGAATAATGCTTCCAAAGCAAACTTTGTGACACTCTAACAGCATTGCTGATAACATTGTTACAAGAATGATGTGCTTTTATCTATTCAGAAAATGAGATCTACTGTGAATAATGCTGCTACAGAAAACTTTGTTTGTTACTTTCTAACAGCATTGCTGATAGAGCGGATTTCGTATGAGTGGGACACCGTTACCGCACTTCGTATGAGTGGGACACCGTTACCGCACAGTCACCGGACCTGGCCTTCACACTTTTGGTAAAAAATGGGCCACTGGAGATTTGGTTACAGTACGATTACAGTCACAGTACAGTACCGTCCGTTTCCCACTCATACGAAATCCGCTCTAACATTGTTAAAAGAAAGATGTACTTTCATCTATTGAGATAATGGGATGTACTGTAAATATTGCTGCTGCCGCAAGCTTCTTTACGAAGGAAGAAACTAGTGGTTGTTTACTGTATTTTTCGTTCAGGTGTCGGATTATCGGAACATCGATTTCTGCATGGTGTCTTAGGATTATTTGTGATCGACGTTTTAAAAAAATGATGATAATAGTGGATTCGGAACCATTGCTTCTACGCATATGCCATTGTTGGTTTTGTGATGCTACTTTGCCAAAATATAGTCCAAAGAAACAACACCACCTGCTTACAGTATTTTAAAGGTTTTGAGATGGATGACTATCATCAGTGTTTTTGTTTCCCATCTTTTCAGTCACATTTGCACACATGCGACAAATTCCCCATGACCTGTGAACGCTGTGGCACCAGCAACATTGCTCGAGAAGATATGCAACACCACCTTGAAAGGGAATGTTCTGAATCAGAAAAACCATGTAAATTCTATTATGCTGGGTGCCCATTTAAGGTAAATGAGAAACTGCAGAGGATATTTCTGGTAATTTCATAATTTATGAAAATTCCTCGAGGTATGTCCTGTTATTAACCTCACCATGATCAGCCGTTATAGAAATCGAGTACAGGTAAATAACAATTGGCGACAGCCGTGGTAAATAAGAGGACACACCACTAGAAACTATCATGAATTGTTTTTACCAATAAAATTCATGCGCGTGCTATGAACAAAACAAAATTGACATCAAATTGACAATTGTTTTTTTAATTAACAATTATGGTTAACAATTTTCTCGCTTTCGCGCACCTGAAAGAAAACCCACGACCGTGGTATGTACCTTTGTTTAACACGACATGCAATCGACCAATGAGAAATCGAGAACATTTACAATCGTAATTGTAAATAAATATGTCAGTGGAGTCAAGTAAGAGTCAAATGAAAGCTATCAGTGGCATTTAGAACTGTGTGCTCGAAGAAAAAAAACAAGGTTATAGATGCTTATATTCTTATGTTTCAGGAAAATAACGACATGAATAAAGAGGTCCAAAGACAGGACTCCGAACACCTCGGCTAGTTTGCGTTCAGCCGAACCAAAACTGTTTTAAAAGCAACTGTTGTAAACAGTTTTGGTTTTGGTTCGGCTGAACGCAGGCTAACCTCGGCCTAATTTTCTGCATCTATGTTATTACTTTTTCAGGCAAAAGATGACGTCATGAACGAACATGACCAGAGCCAGAAATCAGAACACCTCAATCTCATGTTGGAATTTTCCAGGAAAAAAGAACAAAAAGAAATWAATTTATCKGAAAAGCTTGAAAAAGTAGAGCAAGAAAATATCTCGTTACAAAGTCAGCTATCYACACATCGTGAAACTTTAGCTGCTTCTACTCAAGATTTAAGATCATATCAAACACGACTTGGTAAAGTAGARCAAATTGTGGGAGAACACAGGAGAGAGATTGCAGACCTGAAAGAACGATTACCGGTATTGTTTACGTCTCACTTTGATTATAATAACGGCCGGTATAATCTTTTC